GTACATTCGTGGCCGAGGCTACGTCTGTACGCTTTTCCCCCAGTCGCTCTGCTCCCGGGGTTCTGGAGGGTCCGCCAGGACTATGTCGGCCTACTGCTCGTAGCCCCGTTCTGGCCAACCCGGGTGTGGTTCTCGGACATCATGTCGCTCCTGGACGGCCCGCCGTGGCGGGTCCCTCTGAGGAGAGACCTGCTGTCCCAGGCGCAGGGCCGGGTTCTTCACCCTTGCCCCGCCATATGGCGACTGTGGGTCTGGCCCCTGAGGGGGCACAGTACCTAGAGGCGGGTCTAACAGCCGGAGCAGTCGAGACCCTCCTGAGCTCCAGGACCCCGTCCACACGGAGGATGTACGGCCTGAAGTGGAGTGTTTTCTCCACTTGGTGTAGGGAGCGGTCGGTGGACCCTGTTACCTGCCCGGTGGTTCAGGTACTTGAGTTCCTCCAGGACCGGTTCTCTGCTGGTCTTTCCCCTTCCACCCTCAAGGTGTACGTGGCAGCTATTTCATCTTTCCACACCCCTCTGAGGGAGGGGTTCTTGGGGAAACTTCCCTTGGTTGTACTTTTCCTCCGTGGTGCCCGGAGGATGAGACCTGCGACTCGGTCCAAGGTTCCCACTTGGGATCTGGCAGTGGTTCTTGGGGCGTTGGCTGAGGCCCCCTTCAAACCCCTGGAGTCAGCTGAGGCTAAGCACTTGACCCTCAAGATGGCCTTTCTCCTTGCTATCACCTCTCTGAGGAGGGTGGGGGAGCTCCAAGCGCTTTCGGTTTCCCCGCAAGCCTGGAGTTTGCCCCGGGGAATATTAGGGCTATCCTGCACCCTCGTTCAGGATACATCCCTAAAGTGCCTTCTTGTGCGGCAGGGTCCACAGTGCTGCAGGCATTTCATCCTCCACCTCATGTGACGGCGGAGGACGGGAGACTTCATCTGCTCTGCCCTGTCAGAGCACTGAGTATTTACACTCTGAGGTCCTCCCGTTGGAGGAAGGCTGACCAGCTGCTAGTGTGTTTTGGGTCTCCCAGGGCCGGGCTCCCTGCATCCAAACATACTATTGGCAACTGGATTGTTCAGACTATTTCCCTGGCCTATCAGGTGCGCGGTTTGCCTTCACCTGTGGCTGTGAGGGCTCATTCTACCAGAGGCAAGGCGGCCTCTCGAGCCCTCCTTTCTGGGGCCTCTTGCAGGATGTTGTTTAGCGGCTGGCTGGGCCACTCCGCACACATTCATTCGGTTTTACAGTCTTGACCTTCCTTCGGCACCTGGCACTCGTGCGCTCTCCTCTTAGTAGTGCCACTTTTATTGCACACAGGGGCAGGCGGGGTTTTCGGCACGGTTTAGTGGGTATCTCGTTCCCATAGTGTCGTAACCGACGCAGTTCGAGTTCCCTCGAAGGGGAACGTCTCGGGTTACGTATGTAACCCTGGTTCCCCGAGAAGGGGAACGAGAGACTGCGTCGGTTACGACACTATGGGAACGCCTCTAGGCGAAGCAGGTCTGAACGTGAATGAAATCACTCCAATCCTATTGGCCTGTTGCTAGAACGGTAAGGTGTGACGGAATAACCGGAGGAGTATAAAGCACACCTGTACACACTCATCATTAGCTTAAACTATGAAGCAGGCGCTTCAGGCGGGGAGAGAGGTGCGGCGGACCGACGCAGTCTCTCGTTCCCCTTCTCGGGGAACCAGGGTTACATACGTAACCCGAGACGTTCACTTAACAACTGCCTTTGTGAAGTTAAAAAATGGATGTCAAATAATTTCCTCCAGCTGAACTCAGACAAAACAGAAATCCAGGTCATCGGGTCCCAGCAGATGGCAAATCAAATACTGCCATCTGCTGGTTCCCTAGTAAATCACATTAAGCCTGTGGCAAAGAACCTTGGTGTTTGGTTTGATATAGCAAAAATTCGATCTATGTTAACTTTTAAGGACACCGAGACTATTTTACACGCCTTCATCTCATCACGCCTGGATTATTGCAACAGCCTTTTCACCTGTTTAACCCAAAAATCTATTGATCAACTTCGGACTGTCCAGAACTCAGCTGCCAGGCTTTTAACCAGAACAAGAAATATGACCACATTACTCCTGTTTTAGTTTCATTACACTGGCTCCCAGTATGTTTTAGAATTGACTTTAAAATTCTATTGATCACTTTTAAAGCTCTTCATGGCCTCTCGCCTTGTTATATTTCTGACCTTTTAGTCCCATACACACCAGCACGTACCTTGAGATCCTCGGGCAGAGGTCTGCTGTCTGTTCCAGAGTCTCGACTGAAAACTAAAGGGGACAGAGCGTTTGCTGTCAGGGCCCCGAGGCTCTGGAACAGCCTGCCCGAGGAAATCAGGTCGACTGAGTCAGTGAACTCTTTTAAGTCCCTTCTTAAAACATACTTTTATAGGAGAGCCTATCCCTTTTATTTTTATTGTATTTTACTAATTTTATATTTATCTGTCTTTTCAATGTTTTCATGCTTTTATCTTGTATTGTTTTTGTATTATTGTCTCTTGGGTATTATTGTCTTTACACTTGTTAAAGCACTTTGTAACTTGTTTTTGAAAAGTGCTCTACAAATAAAGATTATTATTATTATTAACTGAGTTTATAAATATGCTGTGCTACGCAGTCACCTGTTACTTATAACTACATTTCAGCAAAAGGGATCAGAACATCTAGGAATGTTCATTCTAAATTTGGGAAATGCATTCCTTGTGTTTTTAAACAGAGTTTTAAAAAAAGGGGATCTAGTGGGATTGTTATTATATTATAACTCTTTTGAGATCACTGTCTGCTCTGGGTTTGTGCGGAGGAGCCAGAGCAGAGCTCCTTAGCATAGAGAAAGCAATTACAGGCAATCTTTCAGGCTTGATTTAAAGATGCCAAAAGGAGGAGTCTCATTGAAGCCTTTATAAAGCAACTTCAGCAGCCCATTGGTACCGCATGCTTAAATTTTATGATTGTGAGCATTAAATTATGATTGACCTTTGTCATGTATTCCACAGGAACAACCAAGCAACTGCAATGTTAACTTAAGAGACACGTGTGTTGAACACTTGTGTTAATTTATGTATTGTTTCTGTTTTTGTTAGTATTATTAGTAAACTAGTCTTAAGTACGGAAGAACTTTAGTGCACTAATGGATAATGGAGTGTTATTTTAAGATTTACTATTTGTACGTCCAATGGCAATGTTCATTCAATGCACAGATATACAGGGGGACACAGGGTTAGAAGGGTTAAATCACAAGCAAATAGAAAGAAAAATCACGTTGAAAAAGACAGATATTTTCCTCAAATAGAGACAATAGTTAAAGTTTCCACCCTACAAACAGTAGGATAAAGCTCACTTATTGGTAATAGTGAGAAACAGTTGCAAGCAAGTTAAATAATTCTTCACAGCCAGTGCAACACCAGAGGAGGCCACTCCACTATGGTGCCTCGTGAGACAACACAGCGCAAACGCAGCAGCAGGCGAGATCGAGCACGGCCTTCACTACCACCAGCTATGAGTCCAAGTGAACCAGCTAAAAGAAGAATAGGACTCACTCTACACACGACTGAGCGCCCTCAAATTGGTACCCAGCCTGTTCCCCAGGAAATCTGAACCAAAATAAGTTTCACTGTACCACGGGCAAAACTTCACAATTGGACATTATGCACCATACCATTCATGTGGTGTCACATGAATGATTGTTGAAGCATTGTTATGTCTTGTCACTGTGTTGTTACACAGAAAGTTCATTATGCACCGCGTGATTGTTTTGATACACGTATAAGAAAAGAACAGCCCACTGCATGATAATTGATCATTTCACACTGTGTAAACAATAATTTGTGTATTTTCTTGCAGGTCTACAGGCTGTGAAATAGGCTCCATGTTGCTAAGTGTACTCCAGATTGTACTTATTTACGCATGTTGAACTTGTACAGTCAATGCACTATTGTAGGTCAACGACTTGTCAGCAGGTGATGTCTCCTGATAATGGCCTGAAAGGGTGAATGTGTTAGAATGTGACTAATAAGTCACAGAGATGGGAATGTAGAAGGAATTTAGAAGCAAATTTGTGTGAAAACTGTTCTACAAAACATACACCAATATAATAGACAGCTGAAATTAAGATTACAGTGTTAAACCTCTATAGCCCTGTGTGTGTGTGTGTGTGTGTGTGTGTGTGTGTGTGTGCTCCTCTCTGTATCTGACTGCATGGGCTCAACAGAAGGACCTCATGTGTGCTGTTGGGCAGAGGTAGAAGAGGACACACAGCAGAGTGAGAGAGCACAGTAAGACTGCCCTGTCTCTAGCACATAGCACAAAAGACACCAGCTCATTCCACAAAGTCAGTTATGGTTGAGATATTATGATGAGCAGTAAGCATGCCAAGTCTTTGGTTTAGAAGGAATGGAAGAAGAAAAGTATTGTGAGGAATGTAAAAATAGTCCTTTAAAATATTCTCACCGTGACCCTTCAGAGACAGAACTCAAATTGACTAATGACAAGGTATATATTATTATTATTATTATTCTTCATTAGATTCTTTATTCTAACAATTTGAGATTTGGATTTTTGATTTCTGTGAGCTGTAAGCCGTAATCATTAAGATTAAAACAAAAAAAAGCCTGAAATATTTTACTTTATGTGTAATGAGTGAGAAAATTGAACTTTTTGAATTAAATTACGGGAAGAAAATTGCTTTTCCACAATATTCAAATTTTCTGAGAAGCACCTGTATACAGAATCAATTCCACAAGTTCTAGAGGCCGATTGCCATAGTTGCTTTATACCTTTGCCTTTAAGCCTCTTATCTCTGGACCTTAACCTGCAACGTGAACCCTTCACCCTGAAATCTGAAACCTGTATCTCCCTGCCTGCCTGCCTTCAAACGAATGTACCTTAATCTGGTCAATCAGTTTCTGAATCTGCATTTGGGTCCTGTCCTCATTGCCTGTATTCAGAACTTTGACATAAAGCAAAAACAAAAAGTGTCTAAAATGTGAATAGAAATTCCTCAAACCACTCCTAATCCACTTGTCCCCGGTCAGTCCACATGCTCAGTATGCTCACTGCACTGTCATGGACTTAGTAACCAAACCAAGAAGTTACAGTTTACTTAGTCACACATTCATACATTCTTTGGAGGACAGATCAGATACAATATTTAACAGGATCAGGACACAGTGAAGCAAAAAGGGAACCCAACCAATATAAATCACTGACATTCAGCATCAGATCAACCATTGGTTTTACTGCAGGTAAGTCACATTTTCACATCTCATGACAGAAAAGCAGAAGAAGCAAAGGTAAAACAAGACACTTTATTAGTTAAAAAAGGAACTCTTCTATCTAAGGTTTGAGAGATTAGACAAACTATTTTCATCATCAAACAAAAGAGGAATGTCTTATTTATGTTGAGTCCCTTTTTGATGGACTGAGCTAACCCATTACAGCCACTCTCATTCCTGCTCCTTATTAACTTGCACCTTTCCATGCTCTCCTTCGAGTTGCAGCTTCAGTTATCTTTTGCCTTGTTATCTTCTGTCAAATTTTTATGTGAGGCAGGGAGACAGTGAGAGGGAAGAAAGACTGTTTGTTATTTTGTGTCTGAGAGGAATGACAGTGGTCAAAGACAATGAGCATGTGCAAGGAGACTTTTTTATATTCCAACTGCTGTTTCAATCACTGGTCTGTCATCTGCTCGTGAGACCGCAGGGATGTCTGTGCATGTTTGTGCCTACATTATAATGTTCTCCTTTACTTGAACCAAATTTGGAAACTTATTTCACTGGTGCATGTTAGCCACTTTGGCAACAAGAACCCTGACTATATACCTAAATACCAGATGATTTACTCTTGCTCTTCATAAAATCTTAGAAGTATACTATTCTGATGTAATTACTAAATTAACAGTCTTAATTAACTGTAAAAATTTAGTAAAAATTTGCGTAGTTGTTATAATTTGATCTGGCTATAGTTTGAGAAGTAATATCGTTAACGTGAAAACAAGATCTGAGCAGCGTAAGATATGAATTCTTGATAAAATATGTGTCTGAGGTACGGGTGTGATGAGACACTTAGCTCACGAGACGATACGAGACACAATATTTGGTTCATGAGATAGAGACAAGACGATATTTTGACACTATTTTTAAGAGATCTTCAACACTGAATTCTATGAAATCATTGAGCATTAAACAGTTATTTCCTGCATTCTGGTTCATTTTTCTGAACCATTTTATGGTGAAAATTATTTTATTTATTTAATTCAGGTGGCAGGTGACAATTCAAAATCTAAAACTATAATAGATTATAATGTAAGTATAATGTAATAGTAAGGCTCTCAGGCATTCTTTATTGCTTTCAGATATGTTTTTCCTGTAGATCAACTTTTCTAATGTAATATCATCCAGGGACGGATTGAAAGATGGGGGGGCTTAGCCCCCAGGTTATGCGTAATTTGCACTTGCAAAATCTTTGCACTCGCATCTTTTGTAACTGTATTAGAACTGCACTTATGTCAACAACCAGTGAAGAAGACAAGATGTTAACAAATAAAAAGCAACAGACATACTCTGTTTTTCCATTTCCCCTCTGTTGAACAAAAGTTACTGTAATGTTACAAGGGGTTTGGAAGCAAAATAAAATTTGGTGCGTCTTCTCCAGGATTTCTTTTATATATATAGCAAATTTTATCGAAATCCTCATTGATTGCTTATTGCTTATGTGCTATTTTAAAGCTGCTAAGTTCAATGTTTTGCTCTAAACTACATTTCGTTGTATTTTGTATACAGTGACAATAGAGTCTCTATCATCAATCCTGAAATCTGTTAGTTAACCGTCTCTCATTGACCAGGATTCAAAGAGCTGCTAACTCTGGTTGATTCATTTTAACTTTACTGTAGCTAGCTAGCCTAGCAAAAATGTTAGATAACTCTGTTATAAGTGTTTTAACAACATAATCTAAGTGTAAGTGTAATTAAATGCTGCAACAAAGACTACATGATTCCTTTAAAAGCATCAGGTAAACAAATTATTCCTTTAAAAATTACTACAGATAGGTAATTATCATTAATGGCGTTCACATTATGAACACTAGTGTTTTACATAGCTAACTAATATATCCCCTTTCCTTCAAGTAACCGTTTCTGAAGCTGAGCAAGTAACAGTCACTAACAACTTACAATTTCACTCTGTATCACTCACTATGCTGAATCAATCTTACTTCACCATGTTTGTGTGTCGCTGTGTGTGTTGGAACCATAGACGGTATATAAAAAGGTAGGAACGTTGCTCGGTAGCTCGGCAGAGCAGCGATGAAAGGCAGCCTCCCTCAGGGTCCTAGTGCCGGACCAGAGAGGGGGTTTAAATTATGAAGCAGAGGAAACAACCAGAAGGATTATTTTAAGCCAATAAATAAAAATTATATTTTATTATTCTATTATATCAAAATCTAACCCTGGTTCACAGCGAAACTCAGGCAGCTTCGTCAGACCAAGGAGGAGACCTTCAGAAGTGGGGGCAGAGTCCTGTACAACCAGGCCAGGAACACAATGACTAAAGAGGTCAAAGCTGCAAAGAGGTGCTATGCTGAAAAGCTAAATAACAGCTTTGCAGCCAACGACCCTGCCTCAGTGTGGAGAAGCCTACGGACACTCACAAACTACAAGAGACCATCCCCCAACACTGCTGGTACTCAACGACTGGCAGACGAGCTGAATGGTTTCTACTGTAGGTTTGAAAAGCCCATTGTCACACCTCTCCCCCGCTCCAACGCCATCTTCAAACCTTCCCCCTCTGACCTCTCACCCGCACTCAAGATCTGTGAAGAGGACGTGAGCCACCTCTTCCAAAGGCAGAAGATCAGGAAGGCTCCTGGACCTGACAGTGTCTCACCATCGTGCCTGAAAATCTGTGCGGACCAGCTGGCCCCCATCTTCACTCAGATCTTCAACAGATCACTGGAGCTGTGTGAAGTTCCCTCCTGCTTCAAACGCTCCACAGTCATCCTGGTCCCAAAAAACCCCTCCATCTCTGGACTAAATGATTACAGGCCTGTCGCTCTGACATCTGTAGTCATGAAGTCCTTTGAAAGACTGGTGTTGGCCCACCTGAAGGACATTACAGGCCCCCTGCTGGACCCCCTGCAGTCAGTGGATGATGCTGGACCCCCAACAGGTCTGTGGATGATGCAGTCAACCTGGGTCTGCATCACATCCTGCAACACATATGCAAGGATCCTGTTCGTGGACTTCAGCTTGGCATTCAACACCATCATCCCGGACATCCTCAGTACCAAACTCACCCAGCTCACTGTGCCAGCCTCCCCCTGTCAGTGGATCACAGACTTCCTGACTGACAGGAGTCAGCAGGTGAGGCTGAGGAACATCACATCCAGCACCAGGACTATCAGCACTGGCGCCCCCCAGGGGTGTGTGCTCTCCCCACTGCTCTTCTCCCTCTACACCAACGACTGCACCTCAGGAGACCCATCTGTCAAACTCCTGAAGTTTGCTGACAACACAACGGTCATCGGCCTCATACGGGACGGTGATGAGTCGGCCTCCAGACGGGAGGTTGATCAGCTGGCTCTCTGGTGCGGTCAGAACAACCTGGAGCTTAACACACTCAAAACTGTGGAGATGACCGTGGACTTCAGGAGGAGCCCCCCCACTCTGCCCCCCATCACCATACTCAACAGCCCTGTGTCTGCTGTGGAATCCTTCAGGTTTCTGGGATCCACTACATCCCAGGACCTGAAGTGGGAGCCCAACACTGACACCATCATCAAGAAGGCCCAGCAGAGGATGTACTTCCTGCGTCAGCTCAGGAAGCTCAACCTGCCTAAGGAGCTGCTGATCCAGTTCTACACAGCCATCATGCAGTCTTTTCTCTGCACCTGCATCACTGTCTGGTTTGGATCTGCCACCAAAAAGGACAGGGACAGACTACAACGTACAGTCAGGACTGCAGAAAAAATAATCGGTGACAACCTGCCCTCCATACAGGACTTATACATTTCCAGAATCAGGAAACGGGCAGGACACATCACTGCAGATCCATCTCACCCCGGACACAACCTATTCCAGCTTTACCCCTCTGGTAGGCGCTACAGAGCACTGTACGCCAAAACCAACAGACACAGGAACAGTTTCCTCCATACAAGCCGTAAGCCACCACTCTGATGAACAGCTGATTTCTGACTCACAGTGTCAGGAACAATTCCTGTGCAATAACCCAGTAACTCTGTCTCTAATCAGCACCTGTTTACTGGTTTCCACTTATTATTTATTTATTCACCATTCTCTATTTCAGTGCTGTTCATACTATGTTCATTCTATGTCATATTGTATATACTGTATACCAATACACCTACCTCAGGTCATAAGTCTTATTTATTTTTTCCAGCATCCTTTGCACTATGTTCCATCACACTGTGTACATGTGTAAATGTATGCATGTATGTTTATGTGTACCTGTATATCATATCCACCTTCAACATGTACATTATGAGAATAATAGTTTACTCTTGCATCCTTTGCACTCTGATTACTGCACTATTTGTCAATATGTCAATATTGTTTTGTTTATAGTGTGTATATTAGTGTTGTCTACTCTGTAGTTTGTGTCTGATTTTATTTTATTATTATTATATTATTATTTTATTATTGTATAAGTAAGCACATCGTGAGCAATGTACAATCCTGAGTCAAATTACTCGTATGTGTACACATACCTGGCAATAAAACTGATTCTGATTCTGATTCTGATTATATTTATTAATATTCTTGCTTCTCTTTGTTGAGTACACATCTGCACTGTAAAAAAAATGTCAGGGTTGCTTCAGTCCCCCTACAATAGGTCTAACAATGTCCATGGCAGCTATTGTGCTTCGGGGATTCTAAAGATACAGATTTTACAAAAGTAATGCTTTGATGTACAGTCGAAGTCAGGTGACTTAAAAGGCAACGTCGAGGTGGTAGAATGGTCAACACACGACATTCAACTGCTGTTTGATTCCAAAGTGAAACCAATATAAATTAAATAGGGGGAAAATAATAAAGAACTTGTTTATGTGATATGTCAAAGTTTCCTGAAATAATATGGCTTTTCAATTGATTCTTTCCCAATCACAGGGCAAAGTCTAAACTTGCTGAGAAAAGACCAGTAGATTCAGACGAAATGTCCTCCCAAGTCAGACTGAGGCTGCTGCCGAGCGCCAGGTGCTTCTTCGATGAGCCCATTCAGGTGAAGGTGGCCGGGCTGAGGTCGAGACAGGTGGTCACCATGAGAGCCAGACTGACAGATGAGAAGGGAGTGGTGTTCAGCTCCTCAGCCACCTACAGGGCTGATGGGAGCGGGGAGATCGACCTGAAGAGAGACCCCTCGCTCAGTGGCAGCTATGTTGGGGTTGAACCCATGGGTCTGCTGTGGTCGATGAGGGCGGACACCTTGCACAGAAAGTTTCAAAAAACAAATGCACTAAACCCCCACGTGGTGAAGTTCTCTGTACACGAGGGGGAGGGCAGCATGCTGGCAGAGGCAGCCAATGAGAGGCTTCTGATTGGAGACGGGGTCAGCCTGCTCCCCATCAAAGAGGGCAATATTCAGGGAGTCCTGTTTACTCCCCCAGGTAGGTGGTTCATCATCATTACAACATAAAAGTGTGTTATATGAATGTATAACAACAGTATTTATTTATTAGGCCACCATAGCAATAGCCACTTAGTTTTGTGCTGTGACAGCAATACATTTTGACTTAAAAAGCACAACATTAACGATATACCTTTAGGTGTCCCAGTAAGCCCTAACAGTGAGCCAGCATGCACAATCCCAGGAACCTGAAACCAGCTATGATGAATAGAATACAGCGATCATTACAGTTTTTCTCAGTTGCTTAGGTACTTTCCTCAGATCAGAATTAAAATTCTCAAAACTACTTGTTCAACCTACACATCATCTCATCACTTGTGCATCATAAATGTAGTTTCTCATTCTTTTGAACGAATTGCAAAGGCTTTGCCACATTTATGCAAATGGTTATTTACAATTGTCTGCTGTGCGCCCGATGTCAGCTGGGATTGGCTCCAGCCCCCCGCGACCCTGTACGCAGGATAAGCGGTTGACGATGGATGGATACATTATCAATTGCTTATGTCATGTTGATAACAATGTATTGTACTGGTACTCTGTTGAATAGTCTTACCCCCCAAAACATCTAGGCACAAGTTCATTGCATATGTCACTAAGTGCAGTAACATGCTTTGGCACCATTGTCGAATGACTGACTTTTTCAAACTACATGACTATTTATCTGAACATTAGGTTAGTTGATCACATGACTATGGTCATTTATAAGGATAGGGATAGGGAATTATTCAATTTCCTCACAATTTAGAGCAGCCAAATGCAACTGCTGTCCAATTTAGCTGACAGGTGAAACTCAAAACGAATCAGTTCTCACACACATAGGATGAGGTGTATTGTTACTAAACATCCAGTAGGTGGTGGTATAATACCAAATGGAAACACAGAACAAGAACACAGGTGAGGAGTGATGAACACTACACACACAGGAAATGGCAAAACCCAGGAACCCAAAACAAAAAACTTGAAATATGCCATACTAAAAAAGTGTGGCCTTCAACATTATGGCCTGACAACATTCATTTTGATTATCTTGTTTTAAACAATGAGACAAGAACTTGTCTTTCTGATGGCACTGACATGTTCACTGACATAAATGCATAATTGCTTTTTTTGGTGTTAAATTTAATATAATTTGTTTAATCATATAAAGCTGTGGTCTAGCAGTATATCAATTTAGTGACTCTGCATCAAAATGATGCACATTGTGTAAGATGTAGGATTTCATATGATATATTGTTGATATACATGTGTATGTTCCAGGAGAAGGTCCGTTTCCTGCTGTGTTGGATCTGAGCAGCTTTCCATCTGAGAAAAGAGCCTCTCTGCTGGCAAACAAAGGGTTTGTGGTTCTGGCTGTAGCGGTGATGACTGATAAGCCTGACAACGTGAAAGAGATGCATCTGGACCACTTTAAAGAAGCAGTGGATTTCTTACAACAACATCCTAAGGTGAGCTCATTCGGTGATAAGCAGCTATTGATTTGGATTTTATTTTGTGACTTAAAACCTGCAGCACATAATTTATTGGCCCTAGGAAAAAAGTTGACATATCATCACTTTTTAAGTTGTCATGGCCTCAAGGGGGCTCTCTCTGGCGACATCTCCATACCACTGTCCACTGCCAACTCCCTGCCATCCATCGATGGCCTCGTCAGAGGGCTCCCTGCCATCATCTGGTTGTTCCCCCGGCCCAAGAGTTCACTCTACCGGCTAAGCGGTACCCGGTCTGGCCGCGCTTCCCTCCGATTAAACGATACCAGGAGGTCGCCGCTACAGATCCGAAGGTTCTCTGGGCTCCCGTCTCCACCTACGTTCCCATCACCAAGGGGGAGGGATTTACGGATTTGAGGTTTCCCCCAGTCCCTCCCCAGGAGCCCAACCTCACCACCTTCTTCGGTGTGAAGCCAGGTCAGACGGCATCCGGGCGGCGTCCTGTCCTGGCCTCCCAGGTAGCACAGTGGTTGGCTCGCATCGCTGATAAGAGCCACCAATGCGCCTTCCAGAACTCTGCCTCCTCCAACAACATGGCCTCCTACTTCACCAAACTGGCGGCTAACTCCAGCGTTGCACTCAGCGTTGCATTCCCAGGGTGCCGGTGGTAGCCTGTTTGTGGTCCAACCCCCCGGTGCAGCTTCGCCGCGCTGGGAAGCATTAATAACATTCTTGGGGAGAAATGTGTGCTTTATGTTCTTGTTCTGCTTGAACTTTTGTTCAACAAAACCAAACTGTTTTGAAATAAAACACAAACAGAGCCCTAAAGAGCTTTTTCCTGGGACCGTCGCTGTCTCTGCTGAGTCAGTGGCCGCCTTTTCACACATTTCTTCCACACCACACGGACCAGCTACAGCTGGCCAGATGGCCTTCATGCAGCCTGGCTCCAATGTCATAAGCAGACCCCCCCAGGCCCACCACTGCCTCTGCGAAGCCTGTGGCCGCCGCTCTGCTCATATCTCCCACACTAGCACACAAGCTGCGGCCGGATGGCCGTCATGCATTCTGGCTATGATGTCACTTGCAGATCGTTTCCCCTGCACAGCTATGACCCTCCCTCTCCCCACCAGGAGCTGAGCTCTTGTGCGGCTGAGTGTGGAGATTGAAGCAGGCCATTTCCAGGGTTCCTCCCAGGCAGGAGAATCAGGGGTTTTACACACGCTACTTCCTGGTCAGGAAGAAAACGGGCGCCGTGAGGCTCATCCTAGATCTGTCATTGTTCAACAAAGCGATTATGGAAAGACCTTTTTGCGTGTTTGCAGTGAAACAGGTGCTGGAGTGTGTGCATCAGGGAACCTGCTCACATTCATTGCGTACTTTCATGTTCCTGTTATCCCCAGACACAAGATGTCTTTGGTTCTCCTTCCGGGGCGCTCAGTACCAATACAACCAACTTTGGTTACTCCCTGGCCCTGCAGACTTTCTCCAAGTGTGTCGAGACGGACCTGGAGCCGCTGCGGCGGTTAGGGATCAGGGTTCTGTTTTATATGGACGACCTGCAGCTGCTGCCGCGGTTCCGGGACGAGGCGGTGGTGCAGACAGCCCAGCTCACACACACCTGTCTCGCCTGGGCTTCACGGTGAAGTGGAAGAAGAGTGCCCCTCCCAGCGGCTCTACCTTGGCGTAGTGCTGGTCTCCTCTCTCTGGTGTTGCTGCTCTGCAGTGTTGTCCCACGGGCAGTGGTGACAGCTTGGCCAGGCGGCTGCTCCTGTGGGCACACACACATCTGCTCTCCATCAGAGAGGAGTACATCTCTGGCATGTTGAACAGAGGGGCGGACATCATGTCGAGTGCCTCCATCCTGTCGCAGCACCCGTTCACAGACAGCTGTTTAATTCACACAAATATCCCGCTGTATATTATTTGACCAGAACAAAGTATTTCTTATTTATCAAACGGGTAAGAAGTTCTTCTTCCACGTAGGCCTACATTTACTAATTTGGCAGATACTATTATGTAAGGAAAAGTCACCTGAAGAAGAATGTTCTTTCTACAATTCGAACCCAGACCTCCTGAATGTGGGACAGCTACACTGCTGCTGTACCACTGTGTAGCTGTAGGAGAGTAATACACTGTTACTAAGCGTCTCTTTCGTTGTCAACTTCCGTTGTGGCCTTTGGTATTTGTGTTGTGGCGTTTGTATTTCCGTTGTGGTTTTTGTATTTGTGTTGTGGCTTTTGTAATCGTGTTGTGGCGTTTGTATTTCCGTTGTGGTTTTTGAATTTGTTTTGTGGCAATTTTGTTCGTGTTGTGGCTTTTGTAATCGTGTTGTGGCGTTTGTATTTCCGTTGTGGTTTTTGAATTTGTTTTGTGGCAATTTTGTTCGTGTTGTGGCTTTTGTAATTGTGTTGTGGCGTTTGTATTTGTGTTGTGGCGTTTGTATTTGTGTTGTGGCGTTTGTATTTGTGTTGTGGCTTTTGTATTTGTGTTGTGGCTTTTGTGTTCGTGTTGTGGCTTTTGTATTAGGCCTGAAACCTACTGGCCACCATACTCTGCTGGCAACGGGGCCATATGCAACGGCAATGGTTGCTTAGTGGCTTGGCCGGTGTAATACCAAAATCTATGACCTATCTGATTCTGTGACTAAACCCAAACGACAAAGTTTTCCTAACCATAACCAGGTTCTTTTGGTGCCTAAACCTAACCAACAAAGCCTCTGGTGTTTAACTTCTCATTTGGGTAACAGAATCTGATAGATGACACATTTTGGTGTCACACTGGCTCTGATGGATAGGGTTCCTACCTGCTTCATGACAGCCACCATTGTCCTTGTACCTAAAAAGTCTACAGTGTCTAGTCTTAATTACTACCGCCTTGTGGCACTCACCCCCATTCTGAAAAAATGCTTTGAGAAATTGGTTCTCCAGCCCATACAGAACAACAGTCAGCACTGCAACATGTAAAACTGTTTTATTTCTGTCACTTGTTATTTATCCACCCATCTAGGGTATATCATTTTATGTTTGTATATAACATTTGCCATTTAGCCCAGTTCCTGAGCTCTGTGTGTTTATACAGACTACCTCTAATTTGCATTTATTTTCTTCCCAGGTGGGCAGTAAAGGAGTTGGTGTAATATCACGATCAAAGGCGGCAGATATTGCGCTTTCACTTGCTGCTTATGTACCAGGTGTTGAGGCCACAGTGTGGATCAATGGCTGCAGCGCCAATACGGCCATTCCTCTTTACTACAGAAAACGCCAAATCCTCACACCATTACCGTTGGACCTTAGCAAGATGATTCCTGCTGAGTCAGGGGCCTTTATTATCAAGGATAGTTTTCAAAATCCCCTGGCAGAGGAAAACAAGGGAAGCCTGATCCCCATTGAACAAGCCAAGGGACGTTTCCTGTTTGTGGCTTCAGAGGACGACCTCAACTTTGACACTAAGGCTTACATGGAGGAGATGGTGGAGAGACTGAAGCGACATGGGAAGGACAACTTCGAGAGTGTGTGTTACCCGAGAGCTGGACACCTACTGGAGCCACCTTATGTACCCTACTGCCCCTCTAGTGTTCATGGGTTTGCACAACAGCCAGTCCTGTGGGGGGGTGAGCCCAGCTCCCACGCAGCAGCTGAAGTCCACCTGTGGAAGAAGATCCAGGAGTTCTTCAGAACCCACCTGAGCTGTGATGCTACACAGGTGTCATAGGTTGACATAAAAGGACAAATAAGAAAATCACGAGATCATGCTGGCAATTAACCTGATATAATTGTTTATAAAGCTTAAATAGCTTTTTTAGGAATTTCCCCTGCCATAAGATGGCACAGAACAGCTCCCTCTGACTCTTTTGTTCCCTTTAAGCTACACCCATAGAACGTAACAGATGTATATTATATAAATGTATTTTAGAATGTGGTAAAATATAAAATTAATAATATATAACAAAATGTCTATATACAGTTATGTATATACATATATACACACACACACGTATACACTCAGGAAGAAGGTAATTCTGCAGTGCATTTTTTAAAATTTGGCTCTGGGAGAATATAAACAGCAGCAACAGGATAGCAACAGGCAAATGCTTGGTCTAGTTTTATCTTCATCATCACAATCTGAAGAAACTCAAATACTTTATGGATTCTGGGTAATCAAGCTTGACACAGTAGATGACACCCATAAGCATGGCAAAGCTGCATGCCACATTTTTAATGTTGTGAAGCATAATATTCTCCTCAACCACAACAGCTATCTCGAAGACCTCCCGTGGAAAGGCATCCTGTTCAGCACCTTCACAGCGTATCAGCAGGCTATGAAGGTTAGCCTATCAGCAGGCTAGGAATGTTGCATCCCCTTCATGGCTTGATTTCATCACAGGTATACAGGTTTTAAAAGACAAAGTCATAATCCTCAAAAGACCAGGGAAGTCACACCCTTCAGTTGTTCCCAAAATAGTCTGGACCAACATCAGTCCGGATCAGCAACACAAACTATTTATTCATATTCAGAATTTCAACTCTAGGAAGGGTTAGACTGAAATTGCAAGTTCAGAAACACTTTAGCAATTACGAATATATAAACCACATGAACTCGAAATCTGTCATTTGAGTTAATAGGAGAAAATGCAAAGTAAAGTTTGAATGAATTGAATGAGCTTTTACGAAAAAAACAACAACAAAAAACAAAAAACATATCTGAGTTTTCAACAGACTGAGAAAGTATTAAAATGTCATCACTGAGACACTTTAGACAATAGACACTTTTATTGTTTTCACTTCTACTAAAACCTGGGAATAGAAATAGTTCCACAATAAAAGAATCACCAATATACACATTTACAGTTTTGCATTACAGAAATCATAATGGTCTCATAACATGCTTCAATCTCTCGACTGATTACCTGTCTCTCATGGAACAGAGCTGGCCATCTGGAAATGATCCTGCGATGAATCTCTCTTCTCTGCGCTGAGAAAATGTAGCAACCATCAGGTCTTCCACCAGCTGGTGATCAGGGTCTCTTTTCAGCCTCCATTATCTTGCGGTGATCTGGTGACACTAAATAATCCTCTTCTTCGTTTTCCAAAGGCCTGACTGTGACACTTCACAACAAGGTCGTGTCTGAAATCGACAAACTTTTATGGGCTGTAAAAGTAGAAGAAAAGAATACTCTAGACTTAAAAAGCACCCCAAACATGGGCAATTCACACTCTCTCAATTTCTTAAATGTCTCTTTAGATGAAGAAAATATTGCTTGATGATGGTTGGTGCTGAAAAAGGACAAAGTTCACAGTGTATTTTAGCAACTGGATATGATCCTTTTTTGTGCTCCTTAATATGTTTTGCAAAATCCACATGATATTGGAGGACTGTCAGACAGTTTGGGTAAATGCAGCTCAAGCCCCGTCTTTCACATCCATGTCTTTGTGACTGACTATTGTTTTTCAATGTAAGTGGCAAAATTGCAAAACTTAGAACTCCACTTCATCCACAGTTGCAGCCAAACTTAAATGAATCTATCACTGGCACCTGAAAAACAGAACATATAGTAGATTAATTGAATATGGTGTTAAATTATTATTTTATTATTAATTAATTGTATTATTACAATTATTATAATTGTAAATTATAAACTGAAAACATGACAAAGACATAAAATTGTACACAATTACACCAAAAAGGTACTCCTATTTACTTCAACACACACTTCCACTACGTTTCACTAATATAGACAAGGCAAATATTCACACCTGCCTACTATTTTCTTGATATATATATATTTTCTTGAATTATACAAAAACTAATGAACAGATAGTCATATTTATGGGACTAGTATCTATGCGTGTACAATTTGGTGCAGATCCAAATTGTCGTGGAAATTATATTCCTGGTGAGGTGCTGCGCAAATAATTGAGTTACAACAAACTGTTGTCTTTGAAGAATTTATTTAACAAAAGAGAATAAACAGAGAAGTACTAAAACACAAATCAGCTGGACCAGAGGTTCTGTCTCCTAAGACAGTCACTAACGTCTGGCCCCGAGCAAAGGGATGCATAATCATTTACACAGTCTAGGTTTCTATGTTTTGGGGAACAGAGATCCTCTCTCGGCCTTGAATGAACATTCCAGGAGAGGAGAGGAACAACAAGAGAAGAAAACACCAAACCAATCTCACAGCTCTGACCTAAACCCTGGTAAATGTGGATATAAGGGCAGAAAATTGTTTTCTTCTTACACTTATCATCTTTTATGCAAGTACTTATAAGAGTGCTATTTAATTCAGTTAGTGACTGTCTTAGGAGACAGAACCTCTGGTCCAGCTGATTCTGTTATAGTACTTCTCTGTTTATTCTCTTTTGTTAAATAAATTCTTCAAAGACAACGGTTCGTTGTAACTCAATTATTTGCTTAACCTCTCACCAGGAATACAATTTCCACGACAGTGGACAGACTAACATAAGAAGTATAGGAGAGGAAAGGTTAAGGATAAAACACAATACATAATAATAATAGTAAAAGAACATACATAAAAGATTAAATGTAAGAGGACACAATTTTCTGCCATAACAATCCTCCCTCTGGCCATATATATGGACATCCAGATACAGAGAATTGACAATAGAAAATTAGCCGTAGCCAATTTTGCAGAACATAGACATTATTAAGTTATGAATAAGTAGGGGATCAAACATATTTATATTTGTACTCATCCTAGATGAGAACCTTGACTATCAAATATCATGTATCACGTATTCATAACTGACTTATGGTGTGGTATCTATAATGTCTTCTAGAGTAACCTGCGGTATTAAACAGGGACATCTATGAAAGCTACAGGTGTAAATTTTTCTTTGCAGGACTTCTTTTGTATCCATCAGATAAATGTTTTTCCAAGTGTATGCATTACTCACCAACATAGTGGTTCTGTCACCGGAAAGAAATTGATAATAAAGAGTTTGGTCTTTATTTGTAAATTAATTCCCTAAAATGAATTCAATTAGTCTTTCTGACAATCACATGTTAATATCATAATATTTAACTGTCACTAGCTTTGACGGTTGATTGTAATAAAAGGATCCACCATCTCCACATTTTTTTAATTGTACAACCACATCAAGAGAGACCTGATTCAAACCCAGCTGTAATCTGATTTCTAGCCTTAAATTCATTTGGAACCCCACTGGGTACCTGGTTCATAGGTGTGTGAACACACTCCTGGGAATAACCCACATCTGGGTTGGGGTACTTGGAAATAACTATTTTAATTCATAATCTTCATCTTTGCTATTGTGCTGTTTGAAGAATGTGCATTTCTCATGTCTGGGAAAAGTGGACATCTAGCATAAGTTTCTAACAGGGCCGTGTTGATTTTGTAGCCACGTGTGAGCATGCAGTCCCAGGCCCCGACCGGTCTGTCGGGAATCGGAGAGTGGGAAAGGTTTAAATTTGGAAACTACATGTGAGCGTTTCGCGCAGGCTGTGTAAGGCAGAGGCAACTGTCTAAAACATAGCTTTCCGCATGCATAGCAACTAGAATTTAAAGTGGGGCGCACAGAACCATTCAACACTCGGTACCAGGCGTTCCTGGTACCAGCCACGTCCTTGGCTCCAAGTGAGGAAGAGTAGCTGTGGCTACAAATGGCAGCTGTGAAGGCAATATTGCTTGCGCATATGGGAAAAACAATTTCTTGCTTCACCAAAACATTTTGTCATACACTGTTACCATTTTACAGCACCAGCACTCTGTAAATTGCTGATGCCATTACCCAGGAAGGAAAACATAGATGGATTTCAGTTATTAGGCTTGTTAGGGCTCTGGCCTCCAGTTTATGGAAAACTTTAACCTATTTACTTAACATGCCAACAACTACAAGACTATATTTCATTTATTCACATGGTGTTAGTGCAATTTTCCATAATATCACCTCTGGACCTGTAGGAAAGGTTACCATGGTGTTTCTGCCCAAATAATACTAGATATAGCAGATTTAAATTTGACCCAATGAGATATGGGAGTCTCCCAAGAATATTCAGAGGGTTAGCAAGTATGAGCTACCTGGAGCAAACCTCTGTGCCTCTGTTTACTTCTGTACGACAGCGTGGTGCGTGTGACATCATGTTATTCTTCTGCATGGTGGGAGGAAGCTGGAGCACCCAGAGAGAACCCACGCAGAAACGGGATTTGAATGACCACTCTATACATGAGCAGCAATATGACGCCCAGAGCGCAACAACAGCAGCGGCGCATGTTAGTATTGTTGATTCTTATCCATCATATCTGATCCATTTCCTGATATGATTCCGACAATGAAATATGCCCAATCGGATCGATAATTATCATGCATTCCTATCAGATACAGCCTGAAAGGAGGAGCTGGGTGGCGGTGGTTTATAAGCTGCAGAGGAAGCAGCGAGGGCAGGCAGGCTACAGCAGCTTAAATAAGACGCCTTGTATGGAATTTGCTAATGAATGCAAAGAGATTAATCAGCTGAGCTGTCTGCCAGCTGATGTGGCTGCTTTAAGATGGCTGATATCAGCTGATTTTCTGGGATTGTGAGCTGAGCTAGGGGGTCTGGGGTCTCCTCCCCCAGAACATTTAGAGCATTGAACACTTAATTTCCTGCATTCTGGTGAATTCTTATGCACCAATTTCTGCCTTTCCTGCATCAATTTATGGTGAAAATGTTTTAATTCAAAATCTAAAATAATATGTTTCTTTTGGAGATCAACCTTTCCCATGTAATATCATTCCTGCTGAGTCAGCACACATGCAGATGAAAAACCCATAATTTTGTCCAGTCCACCTTTGGATTAGATTTAGCACTGGTACAACAACTAGCTTCTCTCATTGACCATCTCTCACTCTCTCATTCAAAGAGCAGCCAACACTGGTTGATTAATGTTGGCATTATTGTAGTTAGCTTGCCTAGCAAAACATCAGATAGTGTTATAACAACATAGTGTCAGTGGAACTGTAATACAATGCTGCAACAAAGACTACGTGATGTCTTTAAAAGCAACAGGTGAACACATGATGAACAGTAACTTAAATAGCAGCTTGTTTAGCGACAGTATGTGAGCACACAGCCAGACCCACTATTGGACCCACCTGAGCAGCAGGTATGATATGTTTTACGGAGTTACATTTACTAGGGTTCCTAAAGTGGAATGGATCTGACTGACGGCGCTCTGAAAGGTGAACTTTTGTTCTATACTATATATAGTTAAAATATCTGACTTCCGACCTCAAAGCGTTTCAGTTGCATGGTGGTGCATGATGCTAAATGTGAACAATAAACGTGGCTGACCGTGACAAACTCATGTTTATTTTGGCAAGTTTATGCACAGTTAAACCCTCAGCCTGCACTTTAATTAACACCAAGCTGCACTTGGTGTTAATTAAAAGGATGGCCATTTTATTAAAAACAAGTGACAAATATACGTTAACTGTGTGTCCTTCTAGCTACATCGCTGGTAATCCTCAAAAGTCAGCCAAAGTTGTAGGGTATATTTCCACATTTCTGGGCATTTCCTGAATAACTTTTGGCTATAGAAGATGACTTTCGGAGATTACATTACATTTATTCATTTAGCTGATGCTTTTATCCAAAGCGACTTACAATTGCTAAACATGTCAGAGGTCACACGCCTCTGGGGCAACTAGGGCTTAAGTGTCTTGCTCAGGGACACAATGGTGGATGGATCACAGTGGGGGATTGAACCCAGGTCTCCCACAACAAAGGCAAGCCTCTTATCTATGCGCCATCACCCCCCATAACCACCTAATAACATTTAAAATGTATTTCTACATCTATTTACATGCAAAACAAGTTTAACTATTTGATACTACTATGTATTATTTTGAATAACTACTTTACTTTGCTTTTTAGTTTGTGGTTTACCATTTACAATGTGTGCTTCCATGGGAGCTGCCATAGTCGGGGTACAGATTTTTTCTCAGAGTTCACAAGTGGGCAACCTGACTTGGAGTTCCATAGCCTAGTATATATTCTAGTTTGGAAACCTCCCAGTTCCGAGTAGGTAACACAGCAAAACATTGCCGTAATAAAAAACAGTAAAGTGCACTTACGCTTACATACAACAGTGGCTGTATAAGGAACCGCCTACTACATACTACTGGCAACCGCAGTATGCAGTATGTACTGTACTTACTGCTAGGCCAGGCTTTAGGGGAGACCGGAGGCAATTGTAAAAGGGAGCAATTGTAACACACTCAATTTTTCCAATCAGAAACAAGCTAGAGTGATGACACTTAATCTGCACATGATCAATATGATTCTCTCTCTGTCTGTGGAAAAGGAGCAGGATCATTTCACCTTAGCAGAAATTTTAAACAAAATACTGATTTTGAGGTATGAAAGTAACTTTTGTATGTGCAGTATTTTTCTTCTGGTGTCTAAAGTTTAGATGACTGCAAATCTAAACTTGAATACATTTTATCTCTAGGTTACTGATTAACGTTCAACACTAACAAACTATGCTTATATAGTTGTGGCTAGCGGGCATACAACATTTTATCATGGCTGCAACTATTGTAACACTGTGTTACAATTGCCCCCAAGCCACATGGCCCAATGTACGCAGCTTGTCTGTCTGTTTTGAAAATAAACACATTTCACTAAATATAAATGTAAAACCACATTAAAAAAGGGTGTATTAAAAGAAATGCATTTGTTCTAGTATAAACAAATCACCAATTAACATAGGCCAAAATTCTTTGTATAAAATAGTGTGTTTTATATGTGTTTAACAGAAAGTGTGAATATTATATAGGCCCAAGTCTGCAAAAGTAAAGTTCCTTTCATTGTCAGTTTGTCTGTATAGTAGATAGACTTAAAGTAGTTGATGGTAAAAGACCCAGCAAAACCAAAGAGAATGATTTTTATGAAGTTAGAACAGAGAGAGCAGAGGATGCCTGACATCTAAAATAATTTGAACCATTTAAAAACTCTTATGTAACATTATTAGCTGTAAAGTAATTACTTTGAGGTAGCCTAGGCTTTTACTTGAGATGCAGTGGGTTAATATGACTTATTTTTCAGTGTTAAAATTGCCAAGGGGGCAATTGTAACACTCTGACTTCTTGCATTTAAGTAAATATTTTAGTCTTGTTCTTATAAGTGAAAATATATCAATTATATTATTAATTAGTGCACATATATGTTTCTTGTATCAAAAGATGACTAGTGTATCTCAAGTAGTTTGTGAGTTATTAAGGAAAATGTAAAATACGATGCGAGGATGTTTTCCTAACCATAACCAAGTACTTTCGGTACCTAAACTCAACCAAACTGCAACCGCTTCACATCATCAACAAAGCCTCTGGCGCTTAACTTGCCATTTGGGTCACATAATCTGATTCGATTCGCCAACAATTTACCTAAATCTGCCGTTATTTAATATCTAAACAGTTGATTTCTCGCCTCAAAATTTGTTAGAAGTGGATTTAGTGAAGAAACAGAATTTGAAAATTGTAAAACAAGTTCTGTTGTTTTCCTCTACACAACTGACCGGTGGTTGTTCCAGTTCAAGCGCTTTGCATTATGGGCCACAGTACGCGAGGTAGACTGCTCCGATGCATACTGCAGATTTTTCCCGAATCAGTACGCCATCCAGGTATTTTTGGCATACTGCCGATTTTGCTTTTGTTTGCAAACTGCACATTTGGGCCAAATCAGTACGTACTACTAGTATAGGAGGCGGTTTCGAATACAGCCAGTGTGTTAAAGGCACCACCGTTTCCATTGAAATAAACATTTTGTTACATTTTGTCGGGGCTGAAGTCGGTCCCACATTACGTTACCGACATTAGATAAGACGTAGAGGCGCCACCGTGTTTGGCCAGACATCAGCTGTAACCTTAAAGGTAAGTTAAGCCACGTTTCTACCGTTCAGTTTGTGAATTACCTGTCTGCGGTTGGCCGAGGTTATTATGTAGCCTAACCACACAGCGCAAAACGGTATCTTTTGTCATAGAGAGGGGAGCACTCATAACACTTTATGAATAATATAGTAATACAATAATATAATAGCCTATAGTCAAACTACATTATTATGTACAGGAGAGCCATCTCTAACTGTAACATTAGTGCTCTAAATTCTATATGTCTCAACTATTATTTTGTTCTTGAAAATGCCAACCAATTGATTTAAATTCTTAACTAAAAGGGAGCAATGCAAGGTGCAGGGCCACCCAAAGAGTCACATGGCAAATCTGGGGGCTCCTGAGATGTTTAATGAGCCAGGAAAGAAGAAAAAACTGATGTTTTGCGGCTGTATCTGGATAAACTTGTTGTAATACTTTTGTATCCATGCGTTTTGTGTAATGTTTTGGCCTCAAACAAGTATTTAAATAAAACTGAGAAGTTAAAAGGATGAAATCAGGTGTGAAACTGCTAACATCTCAGAGATATCTGAAAGATAAAAGTAGTGTATTGTTAAGGAGTTACAGAACCACTGGTTTAATCTTTAATCATGTATTGCATATGACAAGATTAAGTAAAGGCCTATATTAATGTACAATTTTAATCTAAAAAGTAGCCTAACTAGCATAGCTGTCAAGTAAATGTAGTAAGGTATGTTGAATATTTTCAGGTAGCCGTGATGTGTGAATATTTTATCTGCCTAGCTTGATTAGGATAATGATCAACATGAATTAGAATAATGTTGAAGGTATCTTTTGAAATATTCACACATCATGGCTACCTGAAAATATTTAATAGGTAAAAGTGCAATATTTCCATCAAAATTTGTATTGTGGAAGAAGCAGGGAAACACTCAAGTAAAACACATGTTCCTCACAATTGTACTTAAATAAAATACTTGAGTAAATTTACTTTCCACCACATTTTCATCACATATAACACCAGGTCACAGACATTATATATACATGCCCAACAGTTACACAGGTGTGTAAGATCAATGTCATTGAGCTAGTGACTCCTTCAATTAAGTAACTACCTTGAAACGTCCCCTTGTTTCCCAGAAATGTTCGTTTTTGGCCCTGAGAGACTGTCACACCTTTTCTTTTTGAGCCACATTTAATGATAAAGTAATCCATACATTTTCAGAGAACACATGTTCACATGGCACAGTTCAACAGACACAAGGAATTCGACCCTGGTTGTCAGTCACTCACAATATAACCTAATAAAACACACAGTGTCATGCCATCAATGTTTAAGCAGACAGTATTAACAAAAAAATACATTTTGCAGCAAAGTATCACACGGATTAGTTATTTATTTATTTGAAAACTTGATTTGCCACAGTTCTGTGTGCTTAGGCAAAAACTTTGTCTTTCTGTGAATTTGATTCTGTAAATTTGATTCAAGTCCTCTGCAGAAGGACATGTACGCTCGAATCAGTGAGGAGAGCTGAGTGAGCCTGTTATTTATCCAGCTTTAGGGTCAATCATATGATCCCACTGAGATACGTTGTCCCTGAAGTCTAGATAACACAGAGAACAGAGATATTTTGATTGTTTACACCGTTTCAGTGCCACATCAAACATGAGTCTCCCTGAGTCCAGGGTTACAAATATATTGAAATATATTTGGAATTCCCATTACAATGCAGAAACACACCGCACGCACACTGTTATGACCCTGGGGTCATATTTTGTTGTTTGTTTATCTCTCCTTGCACTGTCAGCTGTTCTCCTCCATTAGAGTGTGTGTGTGAGTGCATGCAGGTACTGGAGAACAGGTGGACACACTGGATTGGTCCGGTTGAGCTGACTGGAGCTCTCTCTGCCATTCCCAACCTGCCTGAGGACTGTGTGTTATGTCTGTGTTTATTGTACATAGTGAACGGTTGTGACTATATTCAACTTAGATTGTAGGTAGTTTATCGTAGTCCTTCTGATTGTCTTATGACAACCTGGTTTTGTTGGCTTTGACATTTTTGTTGCTATGAAGCAAGTTCCTTTGTCGTAGCTATATTGTGTCAGCTACTAGCAGTGAGTAGGAGTGAGAAGCCCTTTTTTTTGTTTGCACCGTTTTCTCCTGTTTTTGGACTTAGAAGCCTAGTTTTAGAGCTTTGTCTTTTCTTTACCTTTTGGTTTTGGGTTTAGGAAAGATTTAGGTTTTCTTAGTGTTTTGGTTGTTGTTTTGGGCACTGCTCATCTCCGATGTATAATAAAAACTGCTAAATTGTATTTGTTGTGTGCTGGCCTTGTTTGGGAATGGGAAGAGGCCACACATTTATGTTACATCCAGGACACCCCTAGATCTTGGGACGTAACGACACACACACACACACACACTCTTTACATGGCATGATGAACATTTTCTGTGACAACATTTTTTCATAAACAGATATGGAATTTCATAATGCCTTTATTATTTTAGTTTACTGTTTTACAGAGAAAAGTCTTACTAAGAAAGTATTTTCAGTTTCAGACGAAATGTCCTCCCAAGTCAGACTGAGGCTGCTGCCGAGCGCCAGGTGCTTCTTCGATGAGCCCATTCAGGTGCAGGTAGCCGGGCTGAGGTCGAGACAGGTGGTCTCCATGAAAGCCAGATCAACTGACGAGAAAGGAGTGGTGTTCAGCTCCTCAGCCACCTACAGGGCTGATGGGAGCGGGGAGATCGACCTGAAGAGAGACCCCTCGCTCAGTGGCAGCTATGTCGGGGTTGAACCCATGGGTCTACTGTGGTCGATGAGGGCGGACACCTTGCACAGAAAGTTTCAAAAAACAAATGCATTAAACCCCCACGTGGTGAAGTTCTCTGTGCACGAGGAGGAAGGGGAGGAAAGGATGCTGGCAGAGGCGACCAACGAGAGGCTTCTGATTGGAGACGGGGTCAGCCGGCTCCCCGTCAAAGAGGGGAATATCCGCGGAGTCCTGTTTACTCCCCCAGGTTGGTCTACGTCTCTCATGCTTTAAATCATTCATTTAATAAAGGAAAATGCTGGCATCATTTATCTTTAACAAATCCCCTGAAGGGACTGAAACAGTAAAGTCTCTGTGGGCACATTCGGATAAAGCTTGTTCCTTGTGCCAAATAATTAACCAAAAACACACAAAGTCTTCATGACACTGAATAAGACCAGGCTTTTCATATTCCATGTAAACATCACATACTGAATAAGACAGATCTCCAAAGCAGTGGAGGATTCCTCTTAGTTACTGTTGCTAAGTCCGACAAACTGTCAGCACTGCCACTGTATATTACTGTCCTCCCCGGAGAAATATTGTCACATTTGTTGGAAAAAGCAATCTCAGAAAGAAGCAGACAGTTTTGCAGTTGCATTGTGCACTTGAAGGTTGTACTCAGGCTGTCAAACTGACTCAAACGGACGTGAAAAAATGAAAGACCGAAGCTAAAACCTACCAATCACACAGTACAACTGAACCACCGCATCCCCTGATGATTGAGATAAAAGACAACAATATTAAGGATCAACACTGTTCCTATAAAGCTGGGTAGGGCGCTATTCATTATTACAATCATTAAAAAGCAGAACAGTAGGGCTTTATTACGTTACATTCAGGAGGAAGTTAGTTAGTGCTAGCTTGTTCGGTGCCATCCCGGGATAATGTTAGCGTTAGCTAACTAAAATTATCCCGGGATGGCACCGAACTAAAGATATAGTTTCCCTTGATGGCATTGCCCTGGCCTCCAGCACCACTGTGAGAAATCTTGGAGTTATCTTTGATCAGGACATGTCGTTTAAGTCTCACATTAAGCAAATTTCAAGGACCGCCTTTTTTCACCTACGTAATATTGCAAAAATCAGGAACATCCTGTCTAAAAATGATGCAGAAAAACTAGTCCATGCATTTGTTACTTCTAGGCTGGATTACTGCAATTCCTTATTCTCAGGCTGCTCGAAAAAGTCCGTTAAGACTCTTCAGCTGATCCAGAATGCTGCAGCACGTGTTCTGACAGGAACCAGGAAAAGAGATCACATTTCTCCTGTTTTAGCTTCTCTGCATTGGCTTCCAGTAAAATCCAGAATAGAATTTAAAATCATTCTTCTTACCTACAAAGCTCTTAATGGTCAGGCACCATCTTATCTTAAAGAGCTCATAGTACCTTACTATTCCACCAGAGCACTGCGCTCCCAGAATGCAGGGTTACTTGTGGTTCCTAGAGTCTCCAAAAGTAGACTAGGAGCCAGAGCGTTCAGCTATCAAGCTCCTCTCCTGTGGAACCAGGTTCCAGTTTGGGTTCAGGAGGCAGACACCATCTCCACATTTAAGAGTAGGCTTAAGACTTTCCTCTTTGATAAAGCTTATAGTTAGGGCTGGCTCAGGTAGTCCTGAACCATCCCTTAGTTATGCTGCTATAGGCCTAGACTGCCGGGGGATTTCCTATGATGCACTGAGCTCCTCTCTCCTCTACTTTCTCTCCCTCTGTATGCAACCTCATCCCATTATTGCATGTTACTAACTCAACTTCTCCCCTTTCCGGTAGTCTTGTGCTTTCCCCTCCCTCTCCTCTCTCCTATCACTTCCAGGTGTTTCTGGCTCTGGAGCTGTGGAGTCTGGATCTGTGGCTGCGGGTCACCTGCTGCCCCCGTGTTCCTGCTCGACACACTCTGCTACAACAACTATTGTTACTAGTCCTATTGTTATTATTATAATAATTAACACTACGACTGTTACCATTAACACTACTATAAATATCTGTACCATTTTTTCATTTAGTCTATAGCAACATCACCTTTACTGTCTGTACCTCTGTGTATATTGTGTAAGCTGCCTCCCTCCCCTCTCTCTCTCTCTCTCTCTCCCTCTCTCTCTCTCTCTCCTTCACCCCAACCGGTCGAGGCAGATGGCCGCCCACCCTGAGCCATGGTTCTGCTCGAGGTTTCTGCCTCTTAAAGGAAGTTTTTCCTTGCCTCTGTCGCCTAGTGCTTGCTCTTGGTGGGAATTGTTGGGCTTCTGTAAATAGCATCATAGAGTACGGTCTAGACCTGCTCTTTTATGAAAAGCGCTGTGAGATAACTGTTGTTGTGATTTGGCGCTATATAAATAAAATTGAATTGAAGAAGTAAAAAATAGCAGAAATACTGCTGTGCATGTAAATGTAATCAGAGCATGCTTGGGAAAGTGGTTCTCTTTAGACTTCTTTGTTTCTTCCATTTTATCAAACTAGCAAAGTACATAGGTCATGTTGGAATGTCCCCCCGAGTGTAGTGTGTGGCTTTCTTTTTTTATTTCGTGTCATGTCATTTGATATATATTGTATATTAAAATTAAACAAAAAACCAATATGGCTAGGTTAAAGTTCAAATAACAGGGAACAGCGACTCAAAAGCAAGGCCAAAAAGCAATATTGCAGTTTCAACGATTTGGCAGGGAATAAATGGAAATGGGTTGGTTATATACTGCAGGGCTGACAAGTGGTCAGGAAAGGTCAGTTGACTGGGACTGGAGGGTAAGGGCTTACTGCGGGGCAAATGAGGGAAAGTCAAAACAGCTGAGCAGGGGCAAGTTCAGCGCCGACAAAGCATAGCAAAACTTTGGTGCCTCAAACATCCTGTTGTGTACTCAAGCGCAGTCCATTTTCCTGCCTTTTTAACACCGTTGTGTTTACAAACTTGTCGTTGCTGATTGGGTAACACCTGTGACACACCCACCAAACAGAAGAAAACATACCTGTGGAATTAGCACAACGTTGCAAGGAAACATCTCGTTCAATCCGAAAACGTTCCAGTGCAAAACGTTTTGAGATAAGAAGGTTGGGTGGAAAAGTCTCGGGACATCTGGTGGATTAGAGGAGAAGGACAATGAATGGGTTTGCACAAGTGAGAATATGGCTGGAGGGAGGGACAGAGAGGCAGAATGTGATAATTTTGAATGACAAGTTTTGAGTGTCAATCAGGCATCTGATCACCGCCTGTCAAATGTACCGCTGTATATTCATACTTTTTAATTGTGTGCTGGTTTTATATAATTTCTATTATTTGAATGCCATAAAATTAAGTCATTTTGTGTTTTCGTGTGTTTTCTGGTCCAGGAAGAGGTCCATTCCCTGCTCTGTTGGATCTGTACACCTTTGGTGGAGGTTTGTCAGAGAAAAGGGCTTCTCTGCTGGCCCGCAAAGGATTTGTTGTTCTGACTCTAGCGCTGTACGGCCATGATGACATGCCAAAGAAGATCAAAGACGTCCATTTGGATTATTTTGAGGAAGCAATAGAGTTTTTAAAACAACAAGATAAGGTGAGTTGTTTGAACATTTTTCATGACATTACTGGCGGTTTGACTGTTTGACTGGCTGTTTAAGTGGCTAAAATGCAGTATTTAGTTTCGTTTAGCTACAGAAAAGCCCATCTGTGTTGCATCACAATAAATTCTAAAAAGCAGATAATAAACAAAGCCCCATGAATTTCTTTTTTTTTTTTTTTTAAACTTGTCCTGCCCAGCAGCCTGGTATAGAGTATGATGACCTGGATACCATATTGTGCCAGACAGATTTTACTTTAACAAGAGAGTATTAATATACTCCTTTGTCTGTTTTATTATTTATTTAATTATGTATTGATGTGTCACCGGGCCGGACAGGGGGGCAGACACGGGGATGGGAGGGCACAAACAGATAGCACAGAGAAAGGACAAGACCTGTAAGAGAAGGGGGAAAGGGGGATGGAGGGTGGGGACAACAGGGAAAAGCTGTGGGAAACACCAATTGCAGAAAGCAACGAAATCTGCAATAGAACAGAGAGGGGGGCTTGGGGAGGAGAAAAACAACAACAAACAAACAATAAAAATAATAATAATAGTAAAAGACAACCTGCCGAACAGCAGCAATAAACAGCTGACATAGTAAGACAACTAAGAGAAAAATGAAAACAAGAAACAGTCACACACACTAAATAAGCTACACAGCACAGCCACGAGTGCTGGAATAATAATTAATTTAAATAAATAACTGAAAGAAAAGCATCAGGAATAATTCTACCAGGGACAACGTTGGTTACGTATTGTAACCCCAGATTCTATGAGTATAGGCGTAGCCCTCTAAGAGCTGTCGCTATGGGGTTCATCCCCGCGAGCATGCGCAGTCCTGAAGATTTCTTTCGCGCCCATGTGCCGTGCACGGGCCTCTCTCAGGTCCGCAAATTAGGTATATAATACCGGCGAGACCAGAGATCTGCTCCCAAGAGGTCAGCTTTTTTTCTTCAGCCGACGCTGGTGGGACCAGTTGGCCCGCAGCTTAGAGGGCTACGCCTATACTCATAGAATCTGGGGTTACAATACGTAACCAACGTTCTATTTTCGTATAGGCTTTGCCCTGTTGGGATAAGGGCGAAGCCAGATGTAGTCAATGCCCACTGGACCACCAACGGTCATAAACATTAAAACACCAGCTCACAGTACCCTAATCACACAATGCATGATAGAGACCAAAATGTAGGTCAATGTTTCGGCCTGGTCTGAAACCAGGTACCTTCAGTATAGAAGGTGAGAGTCTGATCCATTACACTACGGAAACTGAGATACACAGCCGTCCGCATTAGACCAGATAACAGGATGGCTGAACACATCACTCCCTGCCTCCCACCTGCTGCTGTGAGGAAATTGGAAAGAGAGTTACGCATTGTAACCAGTCCCAACAACGAGCAGGGCAGGCGTGAGAATGGAACAACACACACGCATCCCGGCAACGGGGGGTGTGTGTGGAAAAACTCATGGCGCACAAGAGCGCCCAGAGTACAGGCACACACAGACGCACACTGCGGCTTATGTTGAGGGAACTGTAAGGACGGTTGTTACGCATTGTGGCAGTCCAACTGGAGCGAAACTAAGACCGAAGAGAGCCCCAACAGCCCGTGGCAAGAGGAGCCTTACCGGCTCCTTTACAGGGAAGCCTACGTGTGCGTAATGTGCCCTGAGCCAGCAGCGTCGCGC